ACAAGTAAGAGGATGATGATGTGATGGAACAGTGATGATGATAATGATGATAATAATAATAACAGCCCTTTGAAAGCCAAAGCCGACTAGCTGGCTGCTGGCCAGGGTGATGATAGTGATAACATTTGTCTTCAAGCATTAAACTCGCTGAACCTATTACAATATCTTAAAATAAAATATATTAGCTCTTTTATCACAGAACTAAAAATAGAACAGCCAATACAAATTATACATTTTATAACAAACTGTCATTCTTAAAACTTAAATTATGGAGAGTCTGCAATGTGTTAACATGTTTTAATAATCTCTCTGAGGTATTGCACTACTACTAATAATGAAATTATTTCATCAAATTTCTCTAATTAATAAGTTTTATATCTCTAATTCCAGCATGAAATAATTCAAAGATTATTATTTGTGGTAAACACCCTATAAAATGTCCTGGCTTCTGCCTATCCAGCAACAATGATGTAAATTCTGCTACTTCCAAGGCTATGATGAAGGCTTCTTTTTAGCAAATTCTTATTTTCAGTAACAAATGCTTAGCATAAATTATTCTTAGTTTCCATCTGTTGTTCCAGACTATGCAAACAAAAATGAACTTTCCACACAACTTTCACAACACTACTACAGCACAGCATCAGTCAACTAAGAACTGGCACAGAAAAATATGACAAATCAGCAACATATCAACCTACTTTACTGGCCACTGAGGTCACCAGATCTCAAACCCTCAACCTTTTCTTTCAGTGAGGTTTCATTAAAAACAAACACCAAACCCAAAACAAAGACTCACCAGCAAGTCACTCTGCATACAGAATGATTCACTGGTAGGTTACCCACAGAACATGCTAAAGTTATATCACCATGTCTGCCATTCTGTACTTTTATTTTCGATTTTATTCTGTATGATACAGCTGACATGTCAAGATAAAATATAGTGAGTCTGATGTAAGTTAACTTCTGCTATTGATGGTTTGTACCTGAGATATCTACTTCAATACAAAATCCGTTATGATGCTATATCAACTTGATTTTATTTTATGACTCCCTCTATGCTAAAGCACTAACATTTAACGTTGTGTCACAATCTTAGGAAACAATAAGATGAGGGCTACATACATCATTTCCTCGAGATTTTATTAATTCAACTTCTTCTGGACTGAAACTAGCCATGGATATAGACTTCACTCTGTGTGGAGGTGTTAAACCACGCCTGAAACAAAATTAGCATCAATTTCAGACATCTCATATAAACAAAAAGCACACAGGCTCAAACTGTATTTGGGGTTAGAATTAAATCCAACCTTGCGAAGGTACATAGTCACCTTACTGTAAAGTTATATAACTGGTAATTTTCATTCACAAACCTGTCACAAAAACAAATCATATGGTGCTTAAAACACACTTTCCTTCACATGACACAAATGACTTACTGACCTATTGCATTATCAACACCATCGTAACGAATGAATGGTAAAATCATGCACCCTCTGATGCAAATATACCAGAACTTCCAATGCCTTGCACTTTACATTTAGAAATTACACATTTCATTCAATGTCAATTCGTGTTTTAAAGTAAACACGAATTTCAGAAATACAATTTAGATATTACTTTCTGCATCAAGTAATGCTAGTAAAATATTCACGGTCTATGATTTTCTTAGTATCAATTTTGGGTATTTTTGTTCCCCCCCTTCCCCCAAATTATTTACGTATATATAATTCAGTGTAACTTTTTGTATTATACTTACAGCATACCGGAACATGAAGTACAGACGAAAGAACCTATAGTCATATTAATATATGTTGGGCCCCGCTGGTGACAGTCAAAGCATTGTTTATTTGAAGGTAACGATACCAATTCACGTAGAATCCTAAGGTGCTTTTCATCCAGCTTCTTTCTTGAGGAAGCCATGTTACTTTGGTCCACAGATTGCAACATGAAGATAACAAACTTAATGCTATTGGTCAGAAACGACAGACTGTGCTGCCATCTTATAGGGTCTCTAGTACACACAGATAAAATACTTTCGCGGTGTTAAGGCAGGATCCTACATTAACAGTTATCAACAAGCGATGATACGTAATATCACATGTACTGTCACACCAAGCAATTAAATTCTATTCTGTAAAAAGTTGGCCAATGAAAAAAATACAGCATATTCTGTAATTTGAACGAAATTAATATTTCGTTCTTCAGTACTAAATGCGATACACAGAAGATGGTTCATTGCTTGATGCAATAAGCCAGAAGAAACACCCCCTTCATTAGCTTCGGCGATATGGCTTTTTAACACCTATCAGACGTCAATCACCGACAGTTTCAAACGCGTTCTCTTTTTTATTCCAGTATAATGCATGCTACTTCTATAAGCGGCATTATCGCATATCATGTTGCTTCGGCGTATATCCTCCGAGGGAAAAAAGCTTGGCAAAATAGTAAATAATTTGTAATCCACAATTCCATGAAATGTAAACAAGATCATACATATAAGTCTTCTAACATTCATTGAGTGCTGAAGCACAAATGTCAGCAGCAAATCAAAATTGCATTCACAAATAAAATCAGAATATATTCTGGAAATCCTTAATCTTTTGTTTTCCAAGAGTTTTGGTGTCACTTTGCACACAAACATGCTGCCTGCCTCCACCTTCAGGGCTTTAGTGATGATTGAGATGATAATAGGCTATACAGGTTTAAACACGGAATCTCACCTCAAACCTACAAATTGAGGTAGTGTGTTCCTTCTAATTGGTGTACATCAAGAGTACATGGCATAATCCACCACCCACCAAGCTTCCCCCTCCCCTCCCCACAGAAAAGACTTAGAAAAGCTCCCAACCTCAACACTGAAGATCAATGCAGTAGTTTGTTCCTAAAAAAAATATACAACCAAAACAACTCTGAAGACAATAATCTAAACTCACATCACTCTGAAATCCCCAAATCCTAGTAGACTGAGAATGTCTGAAGACAGGGCTGAGAAGCGCATCTGAGCCAAAGGGAGAAGAGACAGCAGGAGGAAGATGTATAAGAAACTTCATATTCGTATTATATTATTTATTATAACCATTTACTCAACAAATTAATTGTTGTTACTAACAACAAACTGGATGTTTTGTGGCATGTGTCATCAGGCCATACATTTGTGGTATGCCAACTTCTGATACAGGCAAAAAACATTTTAAATAGAACTGTCTTTCAATAACATTCCTTGTATCCTATTTTGTTGTTATATATAATGCTGTTATGTACACAGGAACCATCTATGTTTGAGGTATCCAGTCACATAAGATCCCTAATGATTGGAATGATGATGGTTCCTAAATACTAGTGTCTTTTGATCACTTGACACAAATGATGGGCCAAATGAATCTAGTCACTCTGAAAGATTCAAATTATTTATGTAATGAACCTTCAGATTCCATAAAAGCCAGGGAATTTCTTCATTAGCTAAGTGATTATTAGCTTCTCAAGGACTCTGATCCATGGAGTTAATTAGTTCTAATTAATTACAAAACCATATTCTGCTACACCACGTTCAAGCTGTTACTCTTCTGTTCACAACACACATCAGAGGAATTAATGGTTTGTTTTATTTTATAACTCTGATGAGTTAATAGATGTGCATATTAAATTTCATCTCCAAATCTAACTCCACCATGTAATACATGGAATTCAATCCTGCAAATGACACAGACCAGTGGTGCTCTGCTTCCAAAATTACAAGGCATGTGCATGGCCCAGAAAGGCATTCTGTATGACAAAAATGTGCATGCTTCATATCCCTGTCTATTATTTTTGTTAACCATTGATATATGGATCCCTGAGGGCTAGAAATTGTCTGGTTCCTTAGTCCAAAGAAAAATCTGTCATGCATTGCTTAACATCACAATGCCTTGTTTTGTTTTAATCATATCAGTTTTATTCAATACAACAGGTACCCATTCTTTTTTAAAAAAGGTGGAATAAAAATAAATATGAGCAGATCAGTATGAAAAGTAATTACTGTGTTAATCACTTCAGAAGAGAAGAGTGTAACCTAGTGTAAACACGCAAGGATTAATTTCTGTTGTTTCAGTACAAGACCATTTAAGAGTGTTATGATCACCAGATGAAGTACAGAATTTTGTGCTTTGCTTACCACTAACTGACACAGCGTTACTGATGAATACTGAATATGAGAGATTTATATCAGAGTATCAGAGAACATTCCCATCCCCTGAAACTACCTCATTCCAATAGTGCATGTAACAAGTTATGCTTGCTGTATTCTCCAACTTATTTCCTCATGATTCATGAATCTCATCCACTTGTAAATGCCCATGAAAGAGGTCATCCCTGCAAACAGATACAACTGTTGCCTACCAACAACAACCAGAGTTGAATGCCTGCCTGGCTGAGAGGTAAGGTATAACCTTCACATCAAGGAAAGATGGTAAACAAGACATTATTAGCCTCTAACATGTGTGTGTGTGTGTGTGTGAATCTACTGCATTCAATTCAACCAACTAACCAAACAGTTGTACCCATTAACCTTCTTCAATAGAATCTTACTAACAGTTATTATCAAGTCTCATGCCTGAACATGGGCCACAGTTTTATAAATCTTATGTCATAATCCTAAATATGTAACAAAGAAGCTGTTTGTTAATTTATATGGTGCAGGTATGAACTGTGTTCCTCTCACAAGGTATTCAAGTCCTTCAGTGAACATCTGTTTTGCTATTTCAATACACTGAACATTATAATCATTTTGCCATGTTTTAACCACACTATCACAATCTTTGTGATACATGTATAAGAGCTTCATAGTTTTCTTTACTTTTAGTTTACACTCCACGATTACTTTCCCAACACCATCTTTCACACATGAAAAGTCATCTTCATTTATACTCACAAGTAAGTCAAGATTTTTATCCATGGCCCAAAGCAAAAGATATTGAGAGTCTTTTTCTGAAAACCTTGTCTCTAAAACAAGTCGACACATCATACCAAATGAGTTCTTAAATGCTTCTTTAACTGTATGCATGAAATCTTCAAGAGCAGATGAATTAATTTTCCCTTCATACGAGATTGTGCAGTTCCATAACTTAACTGCTGACGAACTCACACATGTACCTAACCAAGCCATGCACCGTTTACATCTCACAACTTGTCCATTTCTAGTATTCAATAATGATGCACTTAATAATATAAGACATATATCATAAAAGCAATCAGTTTCCTTTGGTGCAAGTATTGAGTGTTGCATGTTAGAGGAATCTGAATGTTGATGACAAAACCAATCATTAACCTCCACTGACACTGAAGATGGCAGAGGAAGAACTCTCGTAAATAAGATATCTTGTTTTGACATAACCTCCCCACAACATTTACATGCCAACTGACATGGTCTGTCAGTACAAATGTATGGAGTTAATTTTTCAGTACTACGACTTTCAGTCATGCTTGAACTTTGGTCAAATAGTAAGATTTCACTAGCAAATGATCCCAAAATATTAACTACAGGCTCAGTGTGAATGCGAAAAGAAACTGAATTCTTCTGAACTTGCAATGTTGACAAACTAAGGGGCTTCAATTTATAGTCATGCAGATTTATCACCTGTACCATTTCACAAGTTCCAGACAACCATTTCACTTCCACTCCTGAAGTCTTAATATTAATTTTGACAGATTCTTTTTGATCTAGGCATTCCTTTGCAACAATAAAAACATTGCATACTTGAAGACGAGGTCTCATTTCCACAATAACTGAATGCATCATGATGACAAATACAAGAAAACCGTTCTTCAGCGTTTTTTCACTATTCCCCTCTTTTCATACTCAAGGAAAAGAGTTTCTGTTTCTTTCACTACAAATGAAAGTGTTGCCTTCTGATAGTAATCATGCATTAATTCAATATTATCTATAACGCTTGACAGAATGTGTGATCTTTCTGCATGTATACCTGAAACAAAATAAACTATGAGCAGTTAGTATATAAGGGAACCGATCTTATATTAGTTAGAAATGGAATCTAAGTCATAATAATAATAAAAATTGCCTGTATGGGATACAATACTGTTACAAGTTACAAAATCAATATAACAGTTTTAATTATCAGCAAAGCCTGAGCTTTAGGCACAGATTAGTAGCATTTGTAAAGGTATCTTAAAACATAAGAATTCATGCCACTATAACAAGATTGCTAATACCAAAGCTCACAATCTGACACACTCCTGAGCCAGCTAAATCAATTTTCCAACCTCAAAATCTATTTCTGTAAGACACATCTTCTGGTTATTAAATCTCCTTTTCAAAATAACAGCACATATCACACACACAAGAATGATTTTACTTAGAAATTACAATCAATGTAATGCACTTGCTCATCTTCATTTATTTTATTGGGAGATTAATATTTAAGCTATAAATGATTCATTTATGAATAACTTGTAATTCTATTACAAAGGCTAATAAACCTATGATTATAAATAATGAACTGCACATGGTCTGTAGCAATGCTAGATTTTTAATCTTTTGCCCATCTAGTCATAGTAAAATGTAGCAGTGACCTTTTGCAATTGGTAGCAGCAATATCAGAATTGTCTGGGGTCAATGATATCTGGTAAAGTTGTCTATCAAGCTGATACCACTATGTGATTTCACTGGACAGCATGAGGTTTATTGTTGGAGTTATGCCATGAACACTGGTGGATACCTTTCACTGTGACTAATTCTCAGTACATGGCTGGATAGAATTTCACCATGCATGGTTAACTCAATGGAGAGCAAAGAAAGTATTCACCACAAAAAACAGTATATGATGTGGTGTTTGCTGTACACATATTGTGCACACAACAAACAACTTATTTTGGTTGGCAGCACTAAACACAGTATGTCATACTAACCTTCCCCACCACCCCCTTCTACAAGATGCTAAGATAAAACAATGTGGACAATATGGTTATTGGATATTTTAATTAAACAAAGTGATACAATGAAGACAGAAATCTTCATTCTCACCGCTGTGAAAACATCAAATCTTACAAAGTGATACAATCATTGAAGATATCCGTCTTCTGGGTTGTTGCGCTGTGTAGTCTGGTTGATGTTAACCAACGTTTCTGAGGTCATACTGCCTCCGTCATCAGGGCGATGAATATGCCAATAGGGTGTGAGGTGCTAGGTTTATAGGCCGGAAAGTGAAAGGTGTAGCCTGCCCCAAGCCAATGGGAGCAGGCATGGGAGTGGACCAATGGTAGCACGTGGGCGAGAGTGGGAGAGGGAGAGAAAGTAGAGAGAGAAAGGTTGAGTTTGGTTGTATGGATCAGGGCCCTGAAAAGGGCCATGTTAGTGGTCTGGTTGGTTCTGGCGGCGCACTCTTGCTCGCTCTCGGAGTCCTCGAAGTGTGTGAATAAGAGGCTTCCAGGACCGGCTCAGGTGAAGTCCATCTTC